TCTATTACTATTATTAATAATATTATAGTATATCATAATTATTATAGTAATATTATAGTAATTATTATTATTATTATTATTATTATTATTATTTCTTTATTTATATTATTACCATCATTACTTTATATCATTTACATCATTACTTCCATCTATTACTACTAATACTATTACTAATAAAAATGATTATTAATATTAATGCTATTACGATTATTATTATTAATATTATTACTATTAATGCTATTACTATTATTATTATTAATATTATTAATATTAATGCTATTACTATTATTATTATTAATATTATTAATATTAATGCTATTACTATTATTATTATTAATATTATTAATATTAATGCTATTACTATTATTACTATTATTAATATTATTAATATTAATGCTATTACTATTATTATTATTAATATTATTAATATTAATGCTATTACTATTATTATTATTATTACTAATATTAATGCTATTAATATTATTAGTAATCTTATTAATATTAATATTCATCATTAATCAAGCTCTCCTCTCCTCGTTAGGCGACGACGACTTCCTGCCTCTGACGGCACCCTGAGGTCATCCGGCGTCAATCAAACCTGTCAATCAACCCCAACCTGTCAATCAACGTCGATCAATAAAGGGGGATTTTCTGAATGATCGAAACGGATCCTTCCATTTCTTTAATGGAATTTGCCAGGCAGGAATCACACCGGTGCAGCTCGGTGGGGGAAAGCCAGGTAGAAATCCCACCGGTGGAGTTTGGGTGGAGCTGCGGGCGGAAATCCCACCGGCGAAGCTAGTATTGGGAAATTGGCGGCAGACGGGCAGAAATCCCAATGGTGCAGCTAGTATTGGGAATGATGGGAATGGGCTCAAGTTCCCAAGGTTGCCAGCAGACAGGCGGAAATCACACTGGTGCAGCTAGTATTGGGAATTGGGGTGGAGTCGCAGGCAGAAACCCAACCGGTGAAGCTAGCCTGCAGTTTTCTAAGGTTGCCAGCAGAGGAACGAAGCAGGTAGGAATCCCACCGGTGCAGCTCGGTGGGGAAAAGCCAGGTAGAAATCCCACCGGTGGAGTTTGGGTAGAGTTGCGGGCGGAAATCCCACGGGTGAAGCTGGTATTGGAAATGGGTTGCCAGCAGACAGGCGGAAATCCCACTGGTGCAGCTCGGTGGGGGAAAGCCAGGTAGAAATCCCACCGGTGGAGTTTGGGTGGAGTTGCGGGCGGAAATCCCACTGGTGAAGCTAGCGCTGGGAAAGGGGTTGCAAGGCTTGCCAACAGACGGGCAGAAATCCAACCGGTGAAGCTAGTGCTGGGAAATTGCCAGGAGACGGGCAGAAATCGCACTGGTGCGGTTAGTATTGGGGGGAAACGGCCTGCAGTTCTCAAGGTTGCCAGCCGAGGAAGGAAGCAGGCAGGAATCACACCGGTGCAGCTCCGTAGGAAAAGCCAGGTCGAAATCCCCCCGGTGGAGTTTGGGTGGCGTTCCAGGCGGAAATCCCACTGGAGAAGCTAGCGCTGGGAAATGGGTTGCAAGGCTTGCCAACAGACGGGCAGAAATCCAACTGGTGAAGCTAGTGCTGGGAAATTGCCAGGAGACGGGCGGAAATCGCACTGGTGCAGCTACTATGGGGAATTGGGGTGGAGTGGCGGGCGGAAATCCCACCGGTGAAGCTAGTGCTGGGAAATTGCCAGGAGACGGGCAGAAATCGCACTGGTGCGGTTAGTATTGGGGGGAAACGGCCTGCAGTTCTCAAGGTTGCCAGCCGAGGAAGGAAGCAGGCAGGAGTAACACCGGTGCAGCTCCGTAGGAAAAGCCAGGTAGAAATCCCCCCGGTGGAGTTTGGGCTGGGAAATGGCCAGGAGACAGGTAGAAATCGCACCGGTGCAGCTTGGTGGAGAAAAGCCAGGTAGAAATTCCCCCGGTGGAGTTTGGATGCAGAGGATTACGGGTGGAAATCCCACTGGTGAAGTTTGCGCTGGGAAATCGCCAGGAGACAGGTAGAAATCGCACCGGTGCAGCTTGGTGGAGAAAAGCCAGGTCGAAATCCCCCCGGTGGAGTTTGGAGGCAGAGGATTACGGGCGGAAATCCCACTGGTGAAGTTAGCTCTGGGAAATGGCCAGGAGACAGGTAGAAATCGCACCGGTGCAGCTTGGTGGAGAAAAGCCAGGTCGAAATCCCCCTGGTGGAGTTTGGATGCAGAGGATTACGGGCGGAAATCCCACTGGTGAAGTTAGCTCTGGGAAAGGGCCAGGATACAGGTAGAAATCGCACCGGTGCAGCTTGGTGGAGAAAAGCCAGGTAGAAATCCCCCCGGTGGAGTTTGGATGCGGAGGATTACGGGCGGAAATCCCACGGGTGAAGTTAGCTCAGGCATTTGGGTGGAGGGTCTGCAGTTCTCAAGCTGGCCAGAAGACGGGCAGAAATCTTAATGGTGCAGCTGTTATTAAGAATTGGGGGGGGCGGCCTGCAGTTCCCAAGGTGGCCGGAAGACGGGCGGAAATCCCACCGGTGCAGCTGCTATTGCTGGCAACCTTGGGCAGGCGGAAGCAGTGCCTTGGCAGGCAGGAATCGCACCGGTGCAGCTCAGTGGGGGAAAAGCCAGGTAGAAATCCCCCGGGTGGAGTTTGGGTGGAGTTGCGGGCGGAAATCCCACCGGTGAAGCTAGTGCTGGGAATTGGGGTGGAGTTGCAGGCAGAAAGCCAACCGGTGAAGCTAGCGCTGCGAAGTTGCCGGGAGACGGGTGGAAATCCCACCGGCGAAGCTAGCGCTGGGAAATTGCCACCAGACGGGCGGAAATCGCACTGGTGCAGCTACTATTGGGAATTGGGGTGGAGTGGCAGGCGGAAATCTGACCGGCGAAGCTAGCGCTGGGAAATTGCCAGGAGACGGGCAGAAATCGCACTGGTGCAGCTACTATTGGGAATTTGGGTGGAGTGGCAGGCGGAAATCCCACCGGCGAAGCTAGCGCTGGGAAATTGCCAGCAGACGGGCGGAAATCGCACTGGTGCAGCTACTATTGGGAATTGGGGTGGAGTGGCGGGCGGAAATCCCACCGGTGAAGCTAGTGCTGGGAAATTGCCAGGAGACGGGCAGAAATCGCACTGGTGCGGTTAGTATTGGGGCGAAACGGGCTGCAGTTCTCAAGGTTGCCAGCCGAGGAAGGAAGCAGGCAGGAATCACACCGGTGCAGCTCCGTAGGAAAAGCCAGGTAGAAATCCCCCCGGTGGAGTTCCAGGCGGAAATCCCCCTGGTGTAGTTTGGGCTGGGGAATGGCCAGGAGACAGGTAGAAATCGCACCGGTGCAGCTTGGTGGAGAAAAGCCAGGTAGAAATCCCCCCGGTGGAGTTTGGGTGGAGTTGCGGGCGGAAATCCCACTGGTGTAGTTTCGGCTGGGGAATCGCCAGGAGACAGGTAGAAATCGCACCGGTGCAGCTTGGTGGAGAAAAGCCAGGTAGAAATCCCCCCGGTGGAGTTTGGGTGGAGTTGCGGGCGGAAATCCCACTGGTGTAGTTTCGGCTGGGGAATCGCCAGGAGACAGGTAGAAATCGCACCGGTGCAGCTTGGTGGAGAAAAGCCAGGTAGAAATCCCCCCGGTGGAGTTTGGGTGGAGTTGCGGGCGGAAATCCCACTGGTGTAGTTTCGGCTGGGGAATCGCCAGGAGACAGGTAGAAATCGCACTGGTGCAGCTTGGTGGAGGAAAGCCAGGTAGAAATCCCCCCGGTGGAGTTTGGATGCAGAGGATTACGGGCGGAAATCCCACTGGTGTAGTTTGCGCTGGGAAATGGCCAGGAGACAGGTAGAAATCGCACCGGTGCAGCTTGGTGGAGAAAAGCCGGGTAGAAATCCCACCGGTGGAGTTTGGATGCAGAGGATTACGGGCGGAAATCCCACTGGTGAAGTTCGCTCTGGGCATTTGGGTGGAGGGTCTGCAGTTCTCAAGCTGGCCAGCAGATGGGCAGAAATCCCAATGGTGCAGCTATGATTAAGAATTGGGGGAGCGGCCTGGAGTTCCCAAGGTGGCCGGAAGACGGGCGGAAATCCCACCGGTGCAGCTGCTATTGCTGGCAACCTTGGGCAGGCGGAAGCAGTGCCTTGCCAGGCAGGAATCGCACCGGTGCAGCTCAGTGGGGAAAAGCCAGGTAGAAATCCCCTTGGTGGAGTTTGGGTGGAGTTGCGGGCGGAAATCCCACCGGGGAAGCTAGTGCTGGGAATTGGGGTGGAGTTGCAAGCAGAAAGCCAACCGGAGAAGCTAGCATTGCTGGGAAATTGCCACCAGACGGGCGGAAATCGCACTGGTGCAGCTGCTATTGCTGGCAACATTGGGCAGGCGGAAGCAGTGCCTTGCCAGGCAGGAATCGCACCGGTGCAGCTCCGTGGGGGGGAAAAGTCAGGTAGAAATCCCCTCGGTGGAGTTTGGGTGGAGTTGCGGGCGGAAATCCCACCGGCGAAGCTAGCGCTGGGAAATTGCCACCAGACAGGCGGAAATCGCACTGGTGCAGCTACTATGGGGAATTTGGGGGGAGTGGCAGGCGGAAATCCCACCGGTGAAGCTAGTGCTGGGAATTGGGGTGGAGTTGCAGGCAGAAAGCCAACCGGTGAAGCTAGCGCTGTGAAGTTGCCGGGAGACGGGCGGAAATCCCACCGGCGAAGCTAGCGCTTTGAAGTTGCCAGGAGACGGGCGGAAATCGCACTGGTGCAGCTAGTGCTGGGAATTTGGGTGGAGTTGCAGGCGGAAATCTCACCGGTGAAGCTAGTGCTGGGAATTTGGGTGGAGTTGCAGGCAGAAAGCCAGCAGACGGGCGGAAATCGCACTGGTGCAGCTACTATTGGGAATTGGGGTGGAGTGGCGGGCGGAAATCCCACCGGTGAAGCTAGCGCTGGGAATTTGGGTGGAGTTGCAGGCAGAAAGCCAACCGGTGAAGCTAGCGCTGGGAAATTGCCAGCAGACGGGCGGAAATCGCACTGGTGCAGCTACTATTGGGAATTGGGGTGCAGTGGCGGGCGGAAATCTCACCGGTGAAGCTAGCGCTGGGAAATGGGCTACCAGCAGACGGGCGGAAATCACAATGGTGCAGCTAGTATTGGGAATTGGGGTGGAGTTGCAGGCAGAAACCCAACCGGTGAAGCTAGCGCTGCGAAGTTGCCAGGAGACGGGCGGAAATCCCACCGGTGAAGCTAGCATGGCTGGCAACCTTCGTCGGTTCCCAACTTGCCAGTGCTTTGCCAGGCAGGAATCCCACCGGAGCAGCTGGCTGGGAAAAGCCAGGTAGAAATCCCACCGGTGGAGTTTGGACGCAGCGGATTAGGGGCGGAAATGGCACCGGTGCAGCTGGTGTTGGGAATTCCAGGAAGGAAGAAGGCAGGAATCACACCGGTGCAGCTCGGTGGGGAAAGCCAGGTAGAAATCCCACCGGTGGAGTTTGGGTGGAGCTGCGGGCGGAAATCCCACCGGCGAAGCTAGTATTGGGAAATTGGCGGCAGACGGGCAGAAATCCCAATGGTGCAGCTAGTATTGGGAATGATGGGAATGGGCTCAAGTTCCCAAGGTTGCCAGCAGACAGGCGGAAATCACACTGGTGCAGCTAGTATTGGGAATTGGGGTGGAGTCGCAGGCAGAAACCCAACCGGTGAAGCTAGCCTGCAGTTTTCAAGGTTGCCAGCAGAGGAACGAAGCAGGTAGGAATCCCACCGGTGCAGCTCGGTGGGGAAAAGCCAGGTAGAAATCCCACCGGTGGAGTTTGGGTAGAGTTGCGGGCGGAAATCCCACGGGTGAAGCTGGTATTGGAAATGGGTTGCCAGCAGACAGGCGGAAATCCCACTGGTGCAGCTCGGTGGGAAAAGCCAGGTAGAAATCCCACCGGTGGAGTTTGGGTGGAGTTGCGGGCGGAAATCCCACTGGTGAAGCTAGCGCTGGGAAAGGGGTTGCAAGGCTTGCCAACAGACGGGCAGAAATCCAACCAGTGAAGCTAGCGCTGGGAAATGGCCAGGAGACAGGCAGAAATCGCAATGGTGCAGCTAGTATTGGGAATTTGGGTGGATGGTCTGCAATTCTCAAGGTTGCCAGCCGAGGAAGGAAGCAGGCAGGAATCACACCGGTGCAGCTCCGTAGGAAAAGCCAGGTAGAAATTCCCCCGGTGGAGTTCCAGGCGGGAATCCCACTGGTGTAGTTTGTGCTGGGAAATTGCCAGGAGACAGGTAGAAATCGCACCGGTGCAGCTTGGTGGGGAAAAGCCAGGTAGAAATCCCACCGGTGGAGTTTGGGTGGAGTTCCAGGCAGAAATCCCACTGGTGTAGTTAGCTCTGGGAAAGTGGCAGGAGACAGGCAGAAATCGCACTGGTGCAGCTTGGTTGAGAAATGCCAGGTAGAAATCCCACCGGTGGAGTTTCGGTGGAGTTCCAGGCGGAAATCCCACTGGTGAAGCTAGTATTGGAAATGGGTTGCCAGCAGACAGGCGGAAATCCCACTGGTGAAGCTAGTATTGGAAATGGGTTGCCAGCAGACAGGCGGAAATCACACTGGTGCAGCTCGGTGGGGAAAAGCCAGGTAGAAATCCCACCGGTGGAGTTTGGGGGGAGTTGCGGGCGGAAATCCCACCGGTGAATCTAGTGCTGGGAAATTGCCTGCCAGGGTGACCAGAAGACAGGCAGAAATTGCAATGGTAAAGCTAGTATTGGGGAAAACTAGCAGGAGGCAGGCAGGAATAACACCGGTGCAGCTGGGTGGGGAAAAAGGCAGGTAGAAATCCCACCGGTGGAGTTTGGATGCAGAGGATTCCGGGCGGCAATGCCACCGGCAAAGCTAGCGCTGGGATATTGCCAGGAGACGGGCAGAAATCGCACTGGTGCAGCTACTATGGGGAATTTGGGTGGAGTGGCAGGCGGAAATCTCACCGGCGAAGCTAGCGCTGGGAAATGGGCTGCCGGCAGACAAGCGGAAATCGCACTGGTGCAGCTCGGTGGGGTAAAGCCAGGTAGAAATCCCACCGGTGGAGTTTGGGTGGAGTTGCGGGCGGAAATCCCACCGGCGAAGCTAGTATAGGAAATGGGTTGCCAGCAGACAGGCGGAAATCACACTGATGCAGCTCGGTGGGAAAAGCCAAAGCAGGGCTTTGCCAGGCAGGAATAACACCGGTGCAGCTTGGTGGGGAAAGCCAGGTAGAAATCCCACTGGTGGAGTTTGGGTGGAGTTCCAGGCGGAAATCCCACTGGAGAAGCTAGCACTGGGAAATGGGTTGCCAGGGTTGCCAGCAGACGGGCAGAAGTCCAACCGGTGAAGCTAGCGCTGGGAAATTGCCAGGAGACGGGCAGAAATCACAATGGTGCAGTTAGTATTGGGGGGAAACGGCCTGCAGTTCTCAAGGTTGCCAGCCAAGGAAGGAAGCAGGCAGGAATCACACCGGTGCAGCTCGGTAGGAAAAGCCAGGTAGAAATCCCACCGGTGGAGTTTGGGTGGAGTTCCGGGCGGAAATCCCCCTGGTGTAGTTTGGGCTGGGAAATTGCCAGGAGACAGGTAGAAATCGCACCGGTGCAGCTTGGTGGAGAAAAGCCAGGTAGAAATCCCACCGGTGGAGTTTGGAGGCAGAGGATTACGGGCGGAAATCCCACTGGTGTAGTTAGCTCTGGGCATTTGGGTGGAGGGTCTGCAGTTCTCAAGCTGGCCAGAAGACGGGCAGAAATCTTAATGGTGCAGCTATGATTAAGAATTGGGGGGGGCGGCCTGCAGTTCCCAAGGTGGCCGGAAGACGGGCGGAAATCCCACCGGTGCAGCTGCTATTGCTGGCACCCTTGCGCACGGCGAAGCAGTGCCTGGCGAGGCAGCAAACTCACCGGTGGAGCTCAGTGGGGGAAAAGTCAGGTAGAAATCCCCCTGGTGGAGTTTGGGTGGAGTTGCGGGCGGAAATCCCAGCGGTGAAGCCAGTGCTGGGAATTTGGGTGGAGTTGCAGGCAGAAAGCCAACCGGTGAAGCTAGCGCTGGGAAGTTGCCGGGAGACGGGCGGAAATCCCACCGGCGAAGCTAGCGCTGGGGAATTGCCACCAGACGGGCGGAAATCGCACTGGTGCAGCTACTATTGGGAATTGGGGTGGAGTGGCAGGCGGAAATCCCACCGGTGAAGCTAGTGCTGGGAATTTGGGTGGAGTTGCAGGCAGAAAGCCAACCGGTGAAGCTAGCGCTGTGAAGTTGCCGGGAGACGGGCGGACATCGCACTGGTGCAGCTACTGCTGGGAATTGGGGTGGAGTGGCAGGAGGAAATCTGACCGGCGAAGCTAGCGCTGGGAAATTGCCGGGAGACGGGCGGAAATCGCACTGGTGCAGCTAGTATTGGGAGTTTGGGTGGAGTGGCAGGCGGAAATCCCACCGGTGAAGCTAATGCTGGGAAATGGGTTGGAAGGGTGGCCAGCGGACAGGCGGAAATCACCATGGTGCAGCTAGTATTGGGAGTTTGGGTGGAGTTGCAGGCAGAAACCCAACCGGTGAAGCAAACGCTGTGAAGTTGCCAGGAGACGGGCGGAAATCCCACCGGTGAAGCTAGCATGGCTGGCAACCTTCGTCAGTTCCCAACTTGCCAGGCAGGAATCCCACCGGAGCAGCTTGCTGGGAAAAGCCAGGTAGAAATCCCACCGGTGGAGTTCGGACGCAGCGGATTACGGGCGGAAATCGCACCGGTGCAGCTGGTATTGGGAATCCCAGGAAGGAAGAAGGCAGAAATAACACCGGTGCAGCTCCGTGGGAAAAGCCAGGTAGAAATCCCACCGGTGGAGTTTGGGTGGAGCTGCGGGCGGAAATCCCACCGGCGAAGCTAGTCTTGGGAATGGGTTGCCAGGCTGCCCAGCGGACGGGCAGAAATCCCACTGGTGCAGCTAGTATTGCTGGCCACCTTAGTAAGCTCCCAAGCAGGCAGAAGGAGTGCTTTGCCGGGCAGAAATCCCACCGGTGCAGCGCAGTGTGGAAAAGCCAGGTAGAAATTCCCACGGTGGAGTTTGGATGCAGTGGGTTATAGGCGGAAATCCCACCGGTGAAGCTAGCGCTGGGGAATTGCCAGGAGACGGGCAGAAATCGCCATGGTGCAGCTACTATGGGGAATTTGGGTGGAGTGGCAGGCGGAAATCTCACCGGCGAAGCTATTAATAATAATAATAATAATAATAATAAATAAGATGGAACTGATCGGCAGGGACATTCCTAGTGCAGCGTCAGCCAGTCCTGCAGGCAAAAGGGCTCCAGGGTCATCCAGTCTGACCCGCCGCCCGGCGGGAACCGTAGCGCTACCAAACCCCCGGACCTCGAACCCGGCGCCGGGCATTTCCCAGGCTATAATTCCCAAAGCGAATTCCCAGCGCCGGAATTTGGGGTCGAAAAGAAGAAATCCCATTTTGGAGATGGGATTGGTCTCCGGGGTCATCTAGTCTGACCCGCTTTCTGGGACCCCGAAGGGGATCCGGTCACATGACTCCCGGCTGCGGGTTCGAGAGGCGGAGCTTAGAAAATCCCGGGAAAGGAGGGAGAAATCGGGATTCGAACCCGCAGCCGCTTCCGAAGGGGAGTCGATTCGGGGCTGGGATGGATGACCTTGGGGATCCTGTCCGTCTCATCTCCGTTTCGCCTGCCAGTCATCCGCTCTGGAGCCAGTTGTCCTGTCAATCACCCCCCTCCCCCCCCCTAATTTTCCCTCCCCCCCAGCCCCCCCTGTAAATCACCCTCTTTCTCCCCACCCTCTCCCCTCTGCCCCCCTCCCCTCCCTTTCCCCCTCCCCCCCAATCTCCCCCTCCCCTCCCCCCATTTTCCCACCCTCCTCCCCCTCCTCCCTCTTTCCCTCCCTCCCCATTTTCCCACCCTCCCTTCTCCTCCTCCCCCTCCCTCTCGTCACTCTCCCTCTTTCCCCCCTCCCTCCTCCCCCTCCCTTTCCCCACCTTCCCTCCCCCCAATTTCCCCCTCCCCTCCGTTTTCCCCGTCAATTCCCCCCTCTCCTTTCCCCCCACCCCCTTCTCCCCTCCCTCCCCCTCCCTCCTTCTCCCCCTTCCCTCTTATTTTCCCACGTTCCCCTCCCCTCCTATTTCCCCCTCCCCTCCTCCCCCCCTCCTCCCCGTCACTCTCCCTCTTTCCCCCTCCCTCCTCCCCCTCCCCTCTTCTTTTCCCACGTTCCCCTCCCTCCTCCCCTCCTATTTCCCCCCTCCCTCCTCCCCCTCCCTTTCCCCATCCCTCTAATTTTCCCATCTTTCCCTCCCCCCTCCCCTCCTCCGTCTTTCCCTCCCCCCTCCTCCCCCTCCCTCCCCGTCACTCTCCCTCCTCACCCCTCCCTCCTTCTCCCCCTCCCCTCTTCTTTTCCCACGTTCCCCTCCCTCCTCCCCTCCTCCCCTCCTCCCCTCCCTCCTCCCTCCTCTCATCCTCCCTCCTCCCTCCCTCTCCCACCCTCCTCCTTCTCCCCCTCCCCTCTTCTTTTCCCACGTTCCTCCCTTCCTATTCCCCCCTCCCCTTCTCCCCCCTCTTCCCCGTCACTCTCCCTCTTCCCCCCTCCCTCCTCCCCCTCCCTTTCCCCACCCCTCCTCCCCTCCTCCCTCCTCCCTCCTCCCTCCCCTCCCCTCCCTCTCCTCTCCCTCCTCCTCCTTTCCCCACCCCCTCCGTCTCCCCCTCCCCCCTTATTTTCCCATCCTTCCCTCCCCCCTCCCCTCCTCCCTCTTTACCCCCTCCCTCCCCCTCCCTCTCCCTCCTCCCCCTCCCTTTCCCCACCCCTCCCTCCTTCTCCCCCTCCCCTCTTATTTTCCCATCCTTCCCTCCCCCCTCCCCTCCTCCCTCTTTACCCCCTCCCTCCCCGTCACTCTCCCTCTTTCCCCCCTCCCTCCTCCCCCTCCCTTTTCCCACCCCTCCCTCCTTCTCCCCCTCCCCTCTTCTTTTCCCACGTTCCTCCTTTCCTATTTCCCCCCCTCCCCTCCTCCCCCCTCCTCTCCCCCACTCCCCCTTTCCCCCTCCCCTCTTATTTTCCCACGTTCCCCTCCCTCCTCCCCCTCCCTTTCCCCACCCCTCCTTCCCCCTCCTCCCCCTCCCTCCCGTCACTCTCCCTCCTCCCCCTCCCTTTCCCCACCCCTCCCTCCTCCTCCCCCTCCCCTCTTAGTTTCCCATCCTTCCCTCCCCCCTCCCCTCCTCCCTCTTTCCCCCCTCCCTCCTCCCCCTCCCTTTTCCCACCCCTCCCTCCTTCTCCCCCTCCCCTCTTCTTTTCCCACGTTCCTCCTTTCCTATTTCCCCCCTCCCCTCCTCCCCCCTCCTCTCCCCCACTCCCCCTTTCCCCCTCCCCTCTTATTTTCCCACGTTCCCCTCCCTCCTCCCCCTCCCTTTCCCCACCCCTCCTTCCCCCTCCTCCCCCTCCCCCCCGTCACTCTCCCGCCGCCCCCGCCCTTGCCCCACCCCTCCCTCCTTCTCCCCCTCCCCGTCTTATTTTCCCACGTTCCCCTCCTATTTCCCCCTCCCCTCCTTCCCCGTCACTCTCCCTCTTCCCCCTCCCCCTCCCCTCCCATTCCCCACCCCTTCCTCCTTCTCCCCCTCCCCTCTTATTTTCCCATCCTTCCCTCCCCCTCCTCCCCCTCCCTCCCCGCCCCTCCCTCCTCCCTTCCCTCCCCCTCCTCCCCCCCACTCCCCCTTTCCCCCTCCCGTCTTATTTTCCCACGTTCCCCTCCTATTTCCCCCTCCCCTCCTTCCCCGTCACTCTCCCTCTTCCCCCCTCCCCCTCCTCCCATCTCCCCACCCTCCTCCTCCCTCCTCCTCCTCCCTCCTCTCTCCCTCCTCCTCCTCCTCCCCTCCTCTTCCCCGTCCTCCTCCCTCCTCCTCCTCCAATTCCCCCTCCTCCTCCCCGTCCTCCTCCTCTTCCCCCTCCCTCCTCCTCTCCTCTTATTCTCCCACTTCCCTCCTCCCCTCCCATTCCCTCCTCCCCCTCCCTTTCCCCACCCCTCCCTCCCTCCTGCTCCCTCTTTCCCCCTCCCTCCTCCCCTCCCTTTCCCACCCCTCCCTCCTTCTCCCCCTCCCCTCCTCTCTCCCATCCTCCTCCTCCCCTCCTCCCCTCCCTCCCCGTCCTCTCCCTCCTCACTCCTCCCTTTCCCCACCTCCTCCTCCTTCTCCCCTCCCTCTTCTTCCCACGCTTCCCCTCCTCCTATTTCCCTCCTCCTCCCCCCCTCCTCCCCGTCACTCTCCCTCTTCCCCCTCCCTCCTCCCCCTCACTTTCCCCACCCCTCCCTTTCCCCCTCCCTCCTCCCTTCCCTCCCCCTCCTCTCCCCCCTTTCCCCCTCCCCTACTATTTTCCCACGTTCCCCTCCCTCCTCCCCTCCAATTCCGCCCTCCCCTCCTCCCCGTCACTCTCCCTCTTTCCCCCTCCCTCCTCCCCCTCCCTTTCCCCACCCCTCCCTCCCTCCCCCCACTCCCCCTTTCCCCCTCCCCTACTATTTTCCCACGTTCCCCTCCCTACTCCCCTCCTATTTCCTCCCTCCCCTCCTCCCCCCTCCTCCCCGTCACTCTCCCTCTTCCCCCCTCCCTCCTCCCCTCCCTTTCCCCACCCCTCCTTCTCCCCCTCCCCTCTTCTTTTCCCACGTTCCTCCCTTCCTCTTTCCCCCCTCCCCTCCTCCCCCCCTCCTCTCCGTCACTCTCCCTCTTTCCCCCTCCCTCCTCCCCCTCCCTTTCCCCACCCCTCCCTCCCTCCCCCCACTCCCCCTTTCCCCCTCCCTCACTATTTTCCCGCTCCCTCCTCCTCCTCCTACTTCCCCCCTCCCCCTCCCCCTCCTCCCCGTCACTCTCCCTCTTCCCCCCTCCCTCCTCCCCCTCCCTTACCCCACCCCTCCCTCCTTCTCCCCCTCCCCTACTCTTTCCCCCCTCCCCTCCTTCCCCGTCACTCTCTCTCTCCCCCCCTCCCTCCCCCACCCCCCCTTTTCCCCAGCCGCGCCTCTTTCCCTCGCCTCCCCAGCGTGGGAAAAAACGACCCAGACTTTCCCACGCTCCGCGCGCCTCTATGCTAATGAGCCCGCCCGCCCGACACGCCCCTCCATGACCATATAAGGGCAGGGCCGCCCCATTCATGAATGGGAGGGCAGTCAAGCGAGGGAATGAATGGAGCGACCTTTCTCAATGGCCTTTTCAAGGGGAAAATAAAGAGATTTTAGGCCGCTTTTCCCAGGCAGACCAGAATAGTCTCTGGGGAAAAAAGGGAAGGGGGGAAAAAGAGGGAAGAAGAAAGAGGAGGAAAAGAAATATATAAAAATGAGGGCATGATATTAGGAGGAGGATTCCATATTTTAAAATTATCGTAGAATTATTATGATTATATATTGAAAATTTTGAGCATCGTATTATGATGAAAGATTTAAAAATTGGAGCCTTATTATCATACAATTATTATGATTATATCTTGAAAAATTGGAGCATCGTATTATGATGAAAGATTTAAAAATTGGAGCCTTATTATCATACAATTATTATGATTATATATTGAAAAATCGGAGCATCGTATTATGATGAAATATTTAAAAATTGGAGCATCATCATCATCATCTTCTTCTTCTTCTTCTTATTGTGATTATTAAGTATTTAAAAATTGGAGCATGGTATTGTGATTAAGTCTTTAAAAATTGGAGCATCGTCTTCTTCTTCTTTTTATTATTATTGTGATTATTAAGTATTTAAAAATTGGAGCATCTTATTATTATTATTATTATTATTATTATTGTGATTAAGTATTTAAAAATTGGAGCCACTTATTATGATTA